GTAATACCTCTGCTTGAAATCTCCATAGAGGATCCTGTTGGGGAAACCCTTTCTGCAGATCCTGATACCTTCCAGCACACCGTTACAGCGCAGCTGGTGCATCACCAGAGGGTTCTCCATGGCCCCTGGAGTCTTGGTCTCGTTGGGGATGATGCAGCGTACAAAGTGAGGGTGAGTCGACCTCAAGTTGGTCATCAGCTTGTTCAGGTTCTCCTGATAGCACATCATAGAGAAAAGTATTGCCATTATACATTACAATTCAAAATGACTTTTAAGGTCCTAAATTCAGGAATAATGTTTCTATTAACCAATCTATAACATGTACAGTTATACTGATATTACCCTGTGCAAAGCTGATACAGTTTGGAAGGAAGAACCTTTCTTCTTGGTTCCACCTTTGCCCTTCCCACCAGATTCAGCTGTAAGATACAGTTGTTATTTGTGGGAAAGTGGGCAGGGGAAGGTTGGGCCAGTAGCTTATTACATGATGCTTTAATAATCACTTGTAAACTAAGATGCTAGTAATTTTTTAAAACCTACCTGAGTCAGCTCCTGCATAATTTGCAAACAGAGTTGCAAGCAGTTTGACAGTAGACTTTTGGTACAATGCCACAACAGTCTCATTCAGAGGATCCTTGTTCTTCACCAACCAGTTGTTGATATTGTAATCAACAGTTCCAGCGTAGTGAACCAGGGCAAAGTGAGCCTCTGGTTTTCCTTTGACAACTCTGGGCTTCTGGAAGTTGCTGGATTTTCCCAGGTGGTTGTCATAGAGCTTAGCTTTAAAGGTGGCATCACTGGCTTTGGGGAACATGCACTCCTCTTCAAGGATGGACATGATACCCATGGGCTGCAATTTATGAGTGAAAGGGCAAAATATGAGGTTTTTCTTTATTTTAAATACCATATTTGAGCTGAACATGTAATAGTTCAGGGTCTCACCTTTTCAATCAGGTCGATACAGGCCTGCAGATCCATGCCAAAGTCAATGAAAGTCCATTCGATGCCCTCTTTCTTGTACTCTTCCTGCTCCAGTACAAACATGTGGTGGTTGAAAAACTGTTGCAGTTTTTCGTTGGTGAAGTTGATGCACATCTGCTCAAAGGTGTTGAACTGTAAATAAAGTGACAACAGTATACTTGTTGTTAATACTAGTGTTTGTCCTGTCTGTGTTATTTCTTTTGTTGTTGAATTGAGGATTCTTACATCAAAGATCTCAAATCCAGCAATGTCAAGCACACCAATGAAGTACTGGCGGGGCTGTCTGGTGTCCAGGGACTGGTTAATCCTCACCACCATCCACAGAAACATCTTCTCATACACTGCTTTAGCCAGTGCACCCATAGCATAGTACACCTAATGCAGAAATCCCCCTGTAGCTTTAGAATTTACAGATAAACCCATAATGTAAACCTTATTCAGCTGTTGATCATCTTATTACCTGCTGTACATTCTGTCCTTTGGTGACCCACTCGTTTCCTACTTTGACTCTTGGGTGACAGAGACCTTTGATGAGGTCAGCAGAGTTCAGGCCCATCAGATAAGCGGATTTGTCCGCATCTGAAGAAAAAACATGCAAATTTAATTCTTTCAATGTAAGCATCAGATACAGACACGTTTAACTTTCAGGCTTTGAAAGAGCTCCTCTCACCTTCTGTGCCATCTGCCTCTGCCTGCTCTTCACGCTGCTTGTTCTTGAATTTCATGTTCCCATAGTGCATGATGGCACCAGTCAGCTTGTAAATGCTATTCTTTTCTTCTTGAGTAAAGCCCAGCACATCAAAGGCATCCTAAATTAGAAAAGGGGTGTTTTCTTACTTATTTTTACATAGTATCAGAGTGTACAGTGTAGAGTTACAGGGAAGATCCAGGGATAACATGGTATTTGCTCTCTGAGCCTTCAAAATCCTGCATTAAACTCGGACTGTCATCTGACATCAGATATTTAATCCAGTCTGTTCAAGTTGTATTCGCTCACATTTCATGATTCAATGACACTCTGTTATAAATACTCCTAAAAGAAATATAAAGTTAAAGCTGACATCTGGAGTGAAAATTTTTTGTGTGTTATTTGAATTTACAGCCTGTGAGGTTTAAATGTAGAATACCCAAAGTATTAATTGAACTAATATGACTTAATAGCGGCACAGGTGCAGATTATTGTTGCATTTCTACTCACATCAGTGGCCATTAGCTCTTCAGCATCATTGATTGAGGCTACTGTTGTCTCTCCTTGAGAGATGAAGGCATAATCATAAGGGTTGTTGGTGATGAGCAGCATTTCTGAAAGGAGAACCAAAGTTGGATTTTTCATTTTAGTTCTACATGAGTGTTGTTGCTGGTTCTCGCAACTCAGGTTTTTATTTACCGAGAAGCTCGGGCTTCCTTTGAGACAAGATCTGATAGAAGATGTGATAATCTCTCTCAGCCTTGAGCTGAAAGGTGACACGGGACTTTTCCAGCAGATCTGTAAACATGTTTGCATTATGTAGGTAGCTGATCATTGCGAACATAGAAATAAATTGGATGAAAGCACAGGAAAGGGACTTACATGTCTCTATGTCAGCAGAGGCCAACTTCCCACTGGCTGCAAAGTGAATTCGGATAAATTTACCCTGCAATGTACGAAGGAAAAAAACATTAAGAGCCTTGGGCAGTGTCAGAATATTACTGTATACCTGGAGTATTTAGGAACCACATTATACTTTCAGAAGTATGACAACTTCACCAAGCTGTGAAACATGGTAACTGCAGGTAGTGACGGAAGTGTAACTAGTAAAGTGATAAAGGTGAGCCGCCCCACATAGATTTCAATCCTGAAAATCTGGGATAAGGGTAACACTCCAAGCATGAGTTTCTTTCTGCCTGATTACTGACTAGTCTAAACTCAAGACAAATAGATACAGTACAAGCCTAAGCATAAAGAAACAATCAAATGAGTTACTGTTATCAACAAAACTTTACAAATCTGGAGGAGTTGTCATTCCTGATGGTTTTGGCATTCCCAAAGGCCTCTAATGCCGGGTTAGCCTGGATGATTTGATCCTCCAGAGTACCCTAAGAAAAAAAAAGCAAAACCTTCATTCAAAACACTTACACTGTAGGAAAAGCTCTACATGCTGTAAATTGAAGATTCAAACCTTCTTCTCAGAGCCTGTATCCTTTTTCCCACTTCCAGCTGCAATGCTGGCAAAGTACTGGATGACTCTCTTGGTGTTGACAGTTTTCCCAGCACCAGATTCTCCACTGAAAACACAAATAGAATGATCAAACAAACAGGACACATTATTCTTCTGGCTGTTCCCTGCACGTCAGCTCCAGTATATCCACCATCCCTCCTGTGCACATGTTCAAACCATCTTAGTCTCGCCTCTTTAACTTTGTCTCCAAGCTGCTTAGCTTGAGCTGTGCTCATTTCTAATCTCGGTCATCCTGGTCATTCCCAAAGAAAATCTTCGTATTGTCAACTCTGCCACCTAAAGCTATTCACCATACATCATACATTTTCATCCATCCTTTTCACTCTTGCTGCAATCCTTCTGTCACAAATCGCCCCTGGCTCTCATCTCCACCCACCCTGCCTGCACTCTGTTGTTCGCCTCTCCTGTACACAAAAACATTGCTTTGGATGGTTGACCCCAGGTATTTAAATTCATCTGCCTTCGCTATCTCTTCTCCTTGCATCTTCACCTTTCCGCCTGTCTCGCTCTCACTCACCCACACCTCTCCAGACTTTCTTCCAACAGCTCCCACTTTCACTACAGATGACAGTGTTGCCTGCAAACGTTACAGTCAGCCTGTCCCTCACCAAAGCAAGCCAGAATGGACTCAGACCCTATTCCCGTTGCCTCACCTTGAACTCAAGTAGACAATCCAGTCATCTCTATAATAAGCCACCCTCTCTCACTGTACTTAATTTGTCTATGGCAACAAGTGAAAAGCGCTATATGAGTTCATTAGAATATGCAATACGTATTAACTGTTTTAGAGATATTAGCGACATTTTAAAGCCTTCTTTTGAATTTCTTCCCTATTAAATTAATGAAATGATGCCAACATTAAATCTTTCCAATATACCATACTAAGATCTTCTGTTCAAGGACTTCATTTACATACTAAACTGACAAAGCACCACTTAAGCTAATATTCCTGTGGTTAAGTAGACCATTGAGCATGTCAGCAAAAACTGAAAGGTTTCCAGATGGCACTTAGTACAATTCTCACTGTATGATTTACTGTAATTACCAAGATCAAACAAACAGAGTCAAAATGAATGACTTACGTGATGAGAATTGACTGATTTTCTCTGTCTGTAAAAGAGCAGGACATATAAGGACAACTCTTACTACAAAATCTTATTTTAATTTCAACATGCTTCAACAATGGAAGCTAAATTACCAGTTAGCATGTACTGGTAGGCATTGTCAGAGATGGAGAAGATATGAGGAGGAGCTTCACTCCTCTTCTTTCCTCTGTAGGCAACGACCACCTCCTGGTTGTAGACTGGCAGCCACTTGTAGGGATTGACAGTCACACAGAACAACCCAGAGTAGGTCTGATAGTTGGTGAAAAGAGGAGAGCAAAGTGTTAAACACGTAGAATTTGTGGGAGGGCAGTTAGTGTGTTGTGCTGTCAGCTCACGTAGATCATCCATGCTGCGTAACGCTCTTTGAGGTTATACAGCACAGCTGGTTCATGGAGGAAGGTGAACATCGCCATGTCTTCAATTTTATCGAACTTTGGCGGGTTCTGAGGGTGCACATCGCACTCCTTCACTGTGACGGTCTGCAAAAAAGGACACAGTAGGTCTTAATATGGACTTATTTCCAAAATATTGTAGGAAGGAGATCTATCAGTCTAGGATGAATTATGCCAAACAGTTTGAGAGGAAAAGAAGAAAAGCACAAAACGAAGAAAAGCATGTATAACCCAGTTAAGTCGGTTCGGTGAACAGGAGTACACTGGAGGACTGCTGTACCTTTGACAGACATAATTAATTATGGCAATCCACTTTAATGTGACAATACAAAAATTGGCTTGTTAAAAAGGTTGCAAAAGTACCCATTCATTACATAAATGCACTCATGGTTGGACTGGCTCTTGTCTAGTCTTATTGTTGACTCAAAGCTTTATCCGTTTCATGTCTTAGAGTTAACCAGCTACTCTGGAAGTTCTTAATGCAGATCCTCGCAGCTGCAAGGCTACAGTGTGAACTTGTTGGAGTCTTTTAAATGCTTTTTAACCACTTTGCATAAGATACTTAACATTTAAGGAAAAAATAAATATTTTACATATTTTCTTTGTTTGTGTGTGTGTGTGTGTGTGTGTGTGTGTGTGTGTGTGTGTGTGTGTGTGTGTGTGTGTGTGTTTTAGCCAAACAGAGGCTGTAAAATAGTAAATGTCTTATATAACACTTTTCTACTTAAGCATTCAAAGCCTCATTCACCGATTAATACAAGCACTTTTTCTACACCCAAGAAAAATCTAACTTTCACACACATCCATACTCCTGTGAACACATCAGAGAGCAGCTTGGCGTTCAGTATGCCCAAGGATATTTAGGCATGCATACTGGAGACTGGAGCAGCCAGGGACCAAAAGCCAACCAGAAGCCAAAAGCCTTCCAATTAGTAGATGACCTGCCCTACCTCCTGAGCTACATCCACTGTATGCTGAGATTGCATCTCAAAATATAGAAGAAATTATGTAAAGCTGTACCTTTTACTACTTGGTCCTAAAAATGGTACACATAATTACCTTGAGGTGTCAAAGTTTATCCTAAGTGGAAAAAGGTTGATTGAAATATATTTTTATTGTACTCTTGCTTCTGAGTGTGTTTGACAAAATAAACAAAATTCAGCTGTTGAGCTCAGCTGTGTCATGGAGAAAAAGACTGTTCTGGTTGTATCTATACTACATTTGTTAGAGGAAAAATAAGTTCACACCATTTTGGCCTTAGTTAGGAAACCAGCTGTATGAAGAGCAGCTGTGCCAACAAATCACTCACCTTCCCTTTCTCAGTCTGAGCAGTGACTTTGTCCCCATCACGGCTGGTGATCGAAGCCTTCACATATTCATCACTGGGGTCAGGAACAAAACACTCCTTCTTCATGTCAAACGGGCGAGTCTGGGCCTCCAGACGCTCCCTGTCTGACTTCCTCAGGTAAGGGGCCGCTGCCCCAAATTCTTTCATGGCAGCATCACCCATTTTTCACCTTGTGTACAACAAAAAGGGACAAATTACTTATGCTGCAGATAAAGATTTTTCTTTTCCTAAATTTTTTACATAACGTTATATTTCCATTTTTCTCCAGTGTCCATTTGGACACACGCTTACCTTTATCCTTACTGAGAAGACTGAGGTGTACTGGTCCTGAGGAAAGATATAATGGAAAATGGTGAGACTGGTCTGTGGCACAGATAAACCCATAGCATCAAGATCTAATTTCTCTGTTTGTGAGCACCCGTCCTCATGCCTTACCTTGAGATAGAACGGTGACCTGTTGGAGTTTCACCATGAGTTCTCCTTATAAGCAAAGCCCCTCTGCCAAATATGGAGGAGCGCTTTAAGGCCCAGGAATGTTTTTGTGTCTGGTTGGGCTGGGAGTTAGTGAAGGGAGGTGGTTAATGAGTGGTGGAGGGTAATATAGAAATCAGCGGGATAGGGTCTTATCAGTGATGGAGTCTCCCAACGAGGCCATATTAGGAGCTCCGTGCATGCAGTGCCGTGATTAATCATAGGTATCCTCAAGCAGCCAGGGGACCACAATTCAATCTTTAAATAGACATGGGGAGGAATTCCTCTGTCATCATCCCTTAAGTGTGCTTGTGTTGCAGGAACAATACATGTCGTACCGAACAGAGGCATCCTCATTTAAGACAGGCAGAACTAGCACAGGGTGAAGAATGTTTAAATGTATTTAAATGTTGTGTCAATTACACAGATCCTGCAGGGGTCTAAAAACTCTTACCAAAAATGTATTTTAGTAAAACCTTAAGATGTATATATATTCATCATAGGACACATACTAACAAAAAGCTGTTCTTTCTGCACATCACTGTTATACATGGTGATTAAATAAAATTAAAAAAAAAAAAAATACAAAGATCAAGAAATCCTTATGAAGGCCCTGCCCACACATACATGAGATTTTCAAAAAAGTTTTGTCCTGTCATCAACTTTTCTAGAATATTTTAGACTTTTTGGATGAACTCTTGTACTTGGCATGCTCTTAGTAGTGCTATCCTTTTTTTTTTAATAAAAAAGGAATTAGAAACCCCCCCTGTTTTAAACCCCCTATGTATGTCTGTGTCAGTGTAGTGTAAGAGAAGTGGATGACAACACTGAATTTATCTTTTTTTTTTCTTTTATTTTTGCTAAAATTCAGAGTGGAGGCGATTTAAGTGAGTTATTATGTATCAGTTTTGTTTGTTTGTGTATTTTTTGAATAATTTAATCTGATATGATCAGAAATAAGTGAGTTACAGATTGAAACGTAAGTAAGTCAGCTTGAAACCCAAGGTAGTTGTAGTGTCTCAAACCCAACTATAAACTAGGTGTGAAAAAAATCATTAAAATAAAAATAATAATAAGTAGTAATAGTAACTAATAATGACTAACAATGAAAACTAACTGAAGCAAAATTTTGTACTTACAAAATATAGCTAATTTAGCAATTTAAAACAATTATTATAAAAAATGCTTTGCGTGTAGTTTGTAGTATCTGCTATAAAACTAGCAAAACAAATATGTGATGCAGCCAGAAGTAGCTTTTATGTTTTATCTATTTTTCTAAAGATTGTGCAAATTTACAAAAACACCCTTAGATAACAATAATTATGAAACCCACCAAAAACAAACGCTAACTGCAATAAAAACTAAAAACTGAAACAACAGTGGAAACAGAAATGAGAAAAAATGTGAAAATAACCCCAAATAAAGCCTTAGTGAAAAATGTGTAACCATGTAATCCCTGCTTAGAGCAAAAAAGCATCCTTTGAATATTTTCCCATCCCAAGGATGTTGCTGAAACACAAAAGACGGCGCACAACGTATCTGGGGAGATATTTTAGAGAAGTATGTTATGTATGGTTCTCAATTACTCTAGGAGCTTAGGGAGAGGCATCGTATTGTGTGTAGTTATCACAGAATGAGCTTTGTGGTAATAAAAACAGACATCACATACTGAGTAAGTCGGTCTAAATAAAGAGCATAAGCATTTGAGCTCAACTAGGCAACAAGGGCGGAGTAACACAGACAGAGGTCTGCCACAGGTGACATGCTTGAGATTCATTGAAAGGCAATGATGATACCAGAGGGCTCAGCATCGCACTGAATCGGTCGTGTTGTGCAAAGGTTACTGTAAAAGGCACCTCCCATTATCAGGCAGCAGCTAGCAAAAGCTGGCCCCACGGTTACAGCCCCGTTTAAATGGCATTGTAACTTTGAGGACAAAGATAACTGTGTGAAATTCCTGCCGAGAATGCGGCACTTGATCGAGAAGAACAGCCACGGCTTTCAGGGTGCTGCTATTGCTTGCAGCCAGGATCAACTGTAGCAGATGATGGTCTCACACTGATCTCAGTCTCACATAAATCTCCTGAGAGTGACAGATATTATCCCACAGCCTATCAAGTGAGAATGTCCCTGCTTCTTTGTGGAGTCGGAGCTTAACTGCCTTCAACATTGTAGCACGATTTACTTTAGGTCATAATAATGATATGATATGTACAATAACAAAGAAAAAAAGAATGCATTAAAAATCTGTTAAGTATAAGACCTGCTGATATATAGTCCCATTAAATGTCATCTGTATAACTTTAACAATATAATACTGTTTAATAATGTGCAACTTACACACATGCATACATTATGCATAGCACTCATCACAGCCAGCCACTAGCACCAGTAATAACAGCTCCTTGAAAGGTTAAGAGATAAAAGGAGGGTCAACAGCTGCTGACAAGAGCTGAGATTATTTCCATTCTGATAACTTCCCCGGCCCTCTTATTGACAGCTGGCGTCAGCTGGAAGTGAGCGATTCCATGCCCTGCTAAAGAGCAAGTGGAGATAACATCAACCTGAAGGTCAAACGTCACTGAAATATTTCTTTATGTCACAACAAATACACATTGTCACCACATACACTTAATTAAATACAAGGTTGGCCTTGGGCCCAGAGGACGTCCACACGACAGGCAGCTATTGTTACAAACTGTATCAGTGAGTATTATGATTTTTTAAAAGAAAAAAGCCCACTTACATAAAAACAATGTGCTTAATGTGCTTTACTCTGTATTTCACTGTAGAGTATTTATAAAAGTGCTGTGTAAATAAAGTTATCACTGCCATTGTGGGTTAGTTTTGCAGTCTGTCTAGATCTGGAACCAGGAATGTTTGGAAGAATTTCAACAATGAAAGATCAGATGAAATTAGAAGATTAAAAAATGAGAAGATTCTATTGAGAACTTCAAGGTACAGTCTAATATATGGCTTCATATGTGGTCTAATTACAGAAGCAGGGAATTGCTGTGTCATTCATGGCTTGTTTTATTCACTCGAGCGTGAGCGCCGATATCTTGTTAATGACACTGATAATCTTCAGCGCATGCTGTGCTGTATGTGGTGTGAGCAGAGGTGTGAATGTGCTTTCATTAGCTCATAGACAAACTTCTGTACCTGTGAGCCCAAACAAGGAGTTAAAGATATGTAATAAGAGAAGACAAAGGGCTCCCTAAATTTCACACAAAGGGATTCTGGGGCCTCCCTCTCCTCCCTCCTCCTCTCCTGCCTCATATCAATATTTAGTCTCCAGCAGAAACAACAACCACTAAGACCTGACAGCAGCACCAAGGCAAAGCTCTAGACAGGTAAGATTAGCAGTTTCTGTAAATGATAAAAGCAATGGTGCCTCTACACCATTGCAACTATTAGGGATCAGAAACAGCTGCATTTTCAAATATTATGTTCAAGACATTGTAAAAAAAAAATACATTAATTGATTAAAAAGTAAATAAACCAACAGAGTCGAACCTGCTAGATTAAGCATGAAGATCCTGACATGCAGTTTGTATTGCATCCCATTGTGTTTATCTTTCTGTCGATGTTTGCTTGTTAATCCTCTGGAATTCTCCCCAGGCCTTTGGAACAGACAGACCTGGGCAGGGATTCACTGACCAGCTGCAAGTGATTACAGGCGGTATTACAGTAGGTCCAAGTATGAGCACTGGTTTATGTTTGACCTTGAGGTCCAGGCTCTTGGGCTTTCTTGACCTCTATTTTAAGAACATGAATTTTGTTTTTTCTCTCGCCTCTTTTAGTTATCATCACTATCTCACTATTTAACTTTTCTATTCTTTCCTACTTCTTCACTCGACTTCTAATTTTCCCATTTAGGCCTAGAGCTTGATATATGCCAGTGCTTTGGATTTTACACCATAGCACATGTGTTAGCGTGACATGAAGCTTTCCAGTAAAGAACTACAGACCTACATTACTTGCTTTTAATGCTATTGCAATAGCCAATATTTTGCGAGTGTAGACAACTGCTGTTTCCTTGTTTTCACAGCGCTGACAGAATCTGTTCTGAAGCCTCTCCTTATCGCATTTTATTAAAAGTGATTATTGTTCATGGTGTATTCCCCTCAGCATGGTCTGGTCACTTTCACCATTATAGATTTAACTGAACACTTGTCTGCATTTGTAATTGTACACTGGTGTGCTCTAATCCAGTGTACAATTACAAATGCAGACAACAAAGCTGAGAAGTCGAGATTAACCCATCCCCAACCACACCCAGGTGCTTTCAGCTGTTGGACTGACCCGAAGCAATTCTCCCATTTATCATTTATCATATATCTATCTACAGTAGCTTGTGAAGCCTTGTGGATGGGCCTGTGTCTAGAATCCAACTGGGATGTGTCATGAAACCTAAATGTGTTAACTACCAGCCACTATCCCATACCTGACTCATGGTTTATGTTATAATCTACTTCTAAGATACTTATTTACTGTAAATGCAAGTGAAGGGAGGACGCCTTCAAATGTATTTGACATCAATATTTTTTAGGATCTAGAACATTGTAGCTGCATTTTCACCATTAATAGGTATATCTACAATTTTATGTTTTTAACTACCAGTTAATGTACTATTGCATTATATTGTATGTGTTAGAGGTCATTCAAGTCTTGTACAATTTGTCATGAACCCACTTTGAGAAAAACAGAACGAATACAATGTTGTGCAACAGCTTAATGAGATTTTATTAGCACTGCAGGTTGTAAATAGTGATAGTTGAGGGGATCTATAACACACAGCAGACAAAGGGGTTTCTGTTGACTCCAAAGCTTCACTCCTCATCAAACCCTTTCTGTAGCAGCCAGGGGAGGTTGGAAAAGAAGAAGAGAAACAGCTGTCAGGGCTCCAGATTAGTGCAGCTTTAGTGCAACAAAGCAACTATATATATATATATAATTACAAAGTGATATCAACTGACAGAACACATACTCTATCTGTGCTAAAGAACGAACAGCAGAGCAGCAAAAGAGTTAAATGCAGCCACTAGAGGGCAGCACGTGTCAGGGTCAGATGCTGCAAAGTGCATGTGTCAAACCTTGGATCCGACATCGCGGCTCTTGGCACGAAGCTTGTTGACCTGAGACTCAGCGATGTCAGCTCTCTCTTCAGCCTCCTCCAGCTCATGCTGCATCTTGCGGAACTTGCCAAGATGAACATTGGCCTGTTCTTCCTGTTAAGGTTAATGAAACAAACCTGAGTATTTGGAGACAGAAGACGACACCGCGTGTAGACTTCACCTCAAACATTACCACACTTACAGCCTCCTCTGTAGATCTTTTGTAGGCTTTAACTTTCAGCTGCAGCTTGTCCACTAGATCTTGAAGCCGCACGATGTTCTTACGATCTTCTTCAGTCTGTGGAAATGAGAAACAAGGTTACACATTTGGCCTGTGAAAGACTGGCAACCTGTTTAGGGTGTACTCTGTAAGGGCTCTGTCAATCACTCCCATAACCCTAAAGCGGATAAGTAGTGAAGAAAATAAATGGATGGATGGTTTCAAACTTACAAAAAATGCTTAATTCAACCTGGGAAAAGGATGCTGATAGTTTCCACAAACCTGGTAGGTGAGTTCCTTGATGCGACGTTCATATTTACGCACCCCCTTCACAGCATCACTGCTTTTCTTCTGCTCCATTTCCACCTCATTTTCTAGTTCCCTTACCTGGTTGGGGACATGAAATACAGATAACTCTCCAAAGAATTTCTTTCAAGAATTGAAAATTTTAATTTCCCAGAAATAACACAGATATGTAAAAGAAGTGCTCACCCTGGCCTCGAGCTTCTGAATCTGCTTCTTGCCTCCCTTCATGGCGATCTGCTCAGCTTCATCCAGGCGGTGCTGCAGGTCTTTGATGGTTTGCTCCATGTTCTTCTTCATTCGCTCCAGATGAGCGCTGGTGTCCTGCTCCTTCTTCAGCTCCTCTGCCATCATGGCAGCATCAGTGATGGCCTTCTTGGCCTTCTCCTCTGCATTCCTGCACTCCTGCACTGCCTCCTCCACTTCAGTTTGAAGCTGGGATGTATCAGCCTCCAGCTTCTTCTTTTGGTTTATCAGGCTGGTGTTCTGCATACAATAAACAAAGACAAATGATGTCGTATGATATGCAGTACCTTTGGTCAGCAATTTAATATGAACCTTTCTGTCTGTGTCACCTGTGAGTGCAGTAGCTGCACCCTCTCTGTAACATCCAGCAGCTCTTGCTCTGCAAGTTTGCGGCTTCTCTCCGTTTGATCCAGAGCTGCTCTCAGCTCCTCCACTTCAGCCTGAAGCAGGGTGTTGCGTCGCTCAACAATGACAATGTTTTCCTTCATATCATCACTGGCTCGCAGAGAGTCGTCCAGCTGAAGTTGTGTGTCCTAGAAAAATGTTTGATCCTCTGGTTATAAATAATCCATTACAGAAATAGAAACATGAGAAATAATTACTTTTTAGTTTACCTTCAGATGCGCATGAACAGCCTTAAGCTGTTTCTGGGCCTCGGCTGCCTGCCTGTTGGCCTGGCTTAGCTGGATCTCCATCTCATTCAGGTCTCCTTCCATTTTCTTCTTCAGCCGCAGAGCCTCATTCCTGCTGCGAGTCTCAGCTTCAAGAGAGCTCTGCAGGGTGTCGATGGTCCTCTGCAGGTTTCTCTTGCTCTGCTCCATCTCTTCATCCTTCTCAGCCAGTTTACGCTCCATGTCAGCCTTGATTTGGTTGAACTCAAGCTGAGCTCTTAGAATCTTGCCCTCCTCGTGCTCAAGAGAACCCTAAGATGGTCGTGAAATCACATTTTGAACTGTTCTTTTTAAAGTTATAAATATATATACGTAAGAGACTGGAGGATATTAGGTTTTAGTCGCACCTCTGCTTCCTCAAGAGCAGACTGAATCTCACTCTTTTCTTGCTCCAGCTGCTTACGGACCTTCTCCAACTCATGAATGGTTTTTCCCCCCTCACCAAGTTGCTCAGTGAGGTCAGAAATTTCCTCTGTGTATGAAAGCGGTTGTGTTCAGTGTACTTTTCTTTTGTACCTGTATGTGTGTGTGTGCATGTGTTGTGAATGTGCGTTCAGTTACCCTGAAGATTCTTGTTCTCTCTCTTCATGGTCTCCAAATGTTCAAGAGACTCTTCATAAGAGTTCTTCAGTTTGAAGAGCTCAGTGCTGAGAGACCTGGCCTCCTTCTGGGAGCTCTCCAGCTCACACTGACACTCCTCATACTTCTGTTTCCACTCAGAAAGAATCTGAGATAGACATTGAGATAGAAATGGTATGAATTTAGGCTTAAATCACTGACCTCTCCATAGTTTCCCCTGTATCTGCACTGTAACAACTCTTTGACAAAGCAAGAGGTAGTTATTTGTCACAGACATGCCAGGTTTATAGTTCAACATGAAGAACAGAAAGCATGATTTTAATGATTAATGTGTTTGCAGTAGTTTAACGATAAAATATGAAAAATACTTTGTCAAAGTTTCTTTGTTTCTTGTCCAGAGCAGCAGCAGCAGCATTAGACCTCTCCACATCCACCATGAGATCTTCAATCTCATTCTGCAGCCTGTGTTTGGTCTTCTCCAGAGAGGAACATTTAGCATTCACTGCTTCAACAGCCTCCTCAGCGTCCTGCAGACGCTGAGCCAGCTTCTTTCTAAAAGTGAAACACAACTGTTTTTATATTTTGGGCCATTATTTAGTTATTGAACATTTGTACTCTGTAGCCTTCTATAGATATAAAAATCTATCAAAGGCTTGCAGACGTACGTATGTTTATGCTTGCTTCCAATTACATATTAGAAGCTTGTTTTATTTTGTTTTTGCCTGAAAGGGAGCTTCAGGAACAACACTTTCCTTTCAGAAAATGTTAGATTTTACATTTGTTCAGGTGACCACAAGAAGTCAACTATGTAAGCGGCATTTTTTAACTTTCGAATATAACCAACTAGTATTGTTGTTTTTCTGTCATTCTGGGCCAACGACACCCAGCAAAGGACCCCACGTGCACTGTGGACATTGGGGTGTATGCTCATTACTTGAACTCCTTGATCAAAACGGCTCAAATCAAAACATTGAAGACGTAATTATCGTCATCACAGCTGTCGCCACTCAGCAAAATCTTCTGCACCAGCGTTGGTATTGGAGAAAAAAAAAGCTACAAAAAAATTGCAACTGTTTTCAAAGTTTCCTCCAGAAGGTCTCGCCTTATCACGTATACCTTCTCTACCTATCATCTGGAAATCTCACAGCTTCTGTACTGATACATTATTGAAATGGCACTGAAGATAAAACACTCGTGTCTTCAACCCATCCATGGTACCCGCACAGCAGGTTGTAAAAATTGGGACGTGCACAACATGCCACGCCACCATTTGATAGCAAAAAAGGTATAAAAAGGCCTTAAAGCAGGTGGTCCTATCTTTACTGTTCTTCTTTTGAGCTCTTTATCATATTTCACAGTTTAGATTAATATTCTTGTTTGTATTTAACTTACTTGGCCTCTTCTAGTTCTTCGGTCCTCTGGATGGCATCAGTTTCATACTTTGCCCTCCACTGAGCCACCTCAGAGTTGGCCTTGGACATGCCACGCTGCAGTTCAGCTTTAGCCTCCTGCTCCTCCTCATACTGCTCCCTGAGCAGGTCACAGTCATGGCGAGCAGACTGCACTGCATGGGCTAATGCATTCTTGGCCTGGATGGATATATATATATAATATGTGTATAATGGGGGCAATTATCTTGCAGCTTGGGTTTTTATTTTTAATTTATTTGGATCTATACTAGTTTTGCATACCTTTATTTCCTCTTCTAGCTGTCTCTTTATATCTTCAAGTTGTTGGCTATAGGAATTCTTTCCTCTAGTCAGCTGAGAAACGAGAGATTCTTTCTCTTCCATCTGTCTTAAAAGCTCATCTGCAGAGGTTCAAGTTCATTATATTCCATTGTTCTGTATTAAATGCGTATGACATTTTAAGTGAACACAGGATAATACAAACCATTCTCTGCTTGAAGCTTGGCTTTCTGAGTGGTTAAGTCACTAAGGGATCGTTGATATTCATCACACTTGGTCCTGTATTCATTCATTTGATCCTCCAAAGTTCTGCAGGTCTTTTCCAGTGTAGTCTAAATATAACAGTTCACAGACAGTCTAGATGTTAATCTGTTATTTGAAGAGTGACCAACCACATTTTTAAACTTACCTTAGACTTTACAGTTTGTTCCATATTGGAGACCACATCATCCAGCTCCAGTCTGAGCTCACTCTTCTCCTTCTCCAGTTTCTGCTTGACTCTCTGCAGGTTATCAATCTGCTCTCCCAGCTCAGCAACACTGTCAGCTTGTTTCTTCCTGAGTGTGGCAGTAGTGGCTTCGTGGTGCAGAGTGGCCTCTTCGAGGTCTCTGCGCAGTTTCTGGAACTCGGCCTCCCTCTTCTTGTTCATCTCAATCTGGGCAGCTGTGGCTCCTCCAGCCTCCTCCAACCTCTCACTGATCTCCTCCAGCTCTCTGGCCAGGTCAGCTCTCTGCTTCTCCACCTTGGCTCGAGCAGCTCTCTCTGCTTCGAGCTCTTCCTCCAGCTCCTCTACACGAGCCTGGTGCGAGAATAACATGTTGAAATGAGTCAGTACTTTAAAAGAAAACAGTTAAGACAAAAAACAGTGCACATTTTGTCACCTGTAGCTCTTTCAGTTTCTTTTGCAGTTGAATAATGATGGCCTGTTCATCTTCAACTTTGCTGTTCAGCTGGCTGATTTCAAAGTCTTTCCTGCAGCATTTTTTCTTGTCAGTGTTAGGCAACAAAACAGTGTACATGGTATTCAGTGATGATACTGACTGAACAATGTTGAGATGAATGCTTACTTTTTCAGACGCTCCTCCAGCTGTTGCTTGTCATTTTCAAGATCCATCACAGACTCCTGGGTCAACTTTAGATCTCCCTCTAGCTTCCTCTTAGCTCTCTCGAGGTCCATTCGAATCTTTTTCTCTTGCTCAAGAGATCCTTCAAGCTTATGGCAAAATGAAATATTATTGTATTTCTGAATAGCTTAATTCCCAATATAGTGTCATCTAAGTAGCATAATTTCAAAAAGTTTATATTTTACATCATCCACTTGCTGCTCCAGCTTAGCCTTGGCCTTGGTCAGAGTGTTGACTTTGTCTTCCTCACTCTGCAGGTCATCCAGAGTTTGCTGATGAGCTTCCTGTAAAGCTTTCTTTTCCTTGGTCAGCTTGGCAATGATCTCATCTAAAGCAGCCATCTCTTCAACAAGGTTCTTGACCTGTTGCAAGTAAATGATGGTATTACAAATTCCGTGCACAGCTTAGACACATGACTCTTTTTCGTACCCTTGTTGTCAGAAATAGAAATATCAAATGAGTCATACCTTGTTCTCAGTGGCATGCTTCTCCTTCTCCACTTTAGCTAGAGTTAACTCTAAGTCATCGATGTCTTTCTTCAGCTCGGAGCACTCGTCCTCCAGCTTCCTCTTCTTAGCAGTCAGTTCTGCATTCATCTCCTCCTCATCCTCCAGTCTCTCCGTCAGCTCTTTGATTTTGGCTTCCAGCTGAATCTTGCTCTTGATCAGCCCCTCACATCTTTCTTCAGCATCACATAGATTGTCTTGTTCCTACCAAATAGAATTCTTGTTAGTGCTCACTTTAATGACACATTTAAAACAATATATAACTATGGTGTCATTCTTACTGCTTGAACTTGGAGCTGCAGGTCATTCTTCTCTTGGAGAAGAGTCACCATTTTCTCCTCTAGTTCCTTTCTTCGAGCTTCAGATTTTGCATAAGCTTCTTTGAGTTTTAGGAATTCTTCCTTCATGTTGGCCATCTCCTTTTCTGCCTCAGCAGATCTCAGCAGAGGTTTGATCTTGAAGAAAAGCTTCATCCAGGGCCAATTCTTAACCCCCATGAAGGCACGTATGTTCCACTGGATTACTAATAAAGCATCTCTAGAAGTTTTTTCAAGTAAATTAGGGATTCAGTTAAGCATAAAATCACAAAACAATAACTACTGAATGTTTAATGACCAGTATCACGTGGCTGTAGAAGATACCTGCGTTCCACCATCTTCTGATACTCAATGCGAGACAAAAGACCACGGGATCTGGCTTGAATCGCTGTGATGATTTTGGAAAGACGCTCATCTCTCATCTCCTCAAGCAGACCCAGCAAGCCAGCCTTGAAGAACACCTAACAACAGCAATGGGTTTTAAGGTTGCAAAATTCTGTTTTTATTTTTGGACATTTTTACTGATATGAGTAAAACCTGAGAAGATACCTTTGTATGCCCAAACTTGTATTGGTTGTGATCAATATCCAAAGACCCAAGAAGTTTCTCTGCTCCTTTCCTACTGTCTATGAACTGGCCTTCGGGAATGGCAGCAGGATTCAGGATGCGATATCTAGAAAATGATGTAAACTTGTGCTTATAGTGCAGTGGAAATACTATCAAAGTTTTGAGATACCCCTACTGAAAGTAGAATGAAGCACACGAGTGTTTTTCATATTCTCTAGTCTAAGGTGTCTAATATATCAGATTTCTTCTTGTATAAAAATATTTTACTGCATAATTAGTAAAAGAAAAAAACTTCAATACTCTGAACTCATGTAATTTCATAATGGAATGTCTGATTCTTTCTGAATTGGTGTGAGAGTCAACAAGAGGTCTTTATACATGTCTGAAAAACAGAACGTGAATTTCTTAATGTATTAGGTAAATTTACTACTTTCAAATATTTTTAAGTATGAAAATCTGTGCTTAATGTACTCATATACTTTTCAACTTTTTTTTCTTTTTGAAAACTTGACGACATGATGATTATTGCTCATTTGGAAGCATTTTTCTTTATAGTTTTTCAAGAAATTGAGCACGGGTTTGCACTAAAGAGCTTAAAGCTAGCAACTTAGGTAACTCACCTAGCTTCTCCAAACTAAATGAGTTTTTCAATTTTTCAATCTTCAAAGACTTACCATGGATATTTTAGAAATACATCTGTAAAGATTGTGACTCATTGGGGTTGGTTTAAATTACAAATGAAACATACTTTAATGTGAAAAAAATTCATCTAACCAGTTACTCATGAGCTCCTATCAGTCAAAGCCTATATGGTGTCCTTTCCAACAATCTTTTACAGTTTTGTTTTGGGATTTTTTTTTAGTTAATTTAGGCTGCATATCACAATATCTGTCAATGTAAATATTTTTGCAGTAAAATATTTTACACAAGCACTAGTATTGTTCTTGACAGCACTAACAAGATCCCATTTCATATATTAGACATCTTAGACAGTATGAAAAATTGTTTGTTTTTCTTGTGGTCTGGGTATCTCGCATGTGGGAGCATTTCCAACCTGTGATCTTAATGAGGTAATACCTCTGCTTGAAATCTCCATAGAGGATCCTGTTGGGGAAACCCTTTCTGCAGATCCTGATACCTTCCAGCACACCGTTACAGCGCAGCTGGTGCATCACCAGAGGGTTCTCCATGGCCCCTGGAGTCTTGGTCTCGTTGGGGATGATGCAGCGTACAAAGTGAGGGTGAGTCGACCTCAAGTTGGTCATCAGCTTGTTCAGGTTCTCCTTTAATGAGGTAAAACAGATATTTAGAAATACTAATGATAGTTGCATGTAAAAACCATTTAGTCCAAGAAATATAAAACATAAGCAGTACCCTGTGAAGAGCAGACACTGTCTGAAAGGAGGATCCTTTTTTCTTCTTCTCTTTTTTTCCCTCGACAGCTTCAGACATAGCTGTTGAGAAAATATGTGTTGTTAGTAATAGACAAGAAACCCTACAAATATCTTCAAACTAGATATTCAGCCAGGTGTACCTGAGTCAGCTCCTGCATAATTTGCAAAGAGAGTTGCAAGAAGTTTGAGGGTAGACTTTTGGTACAATGCCACAACAGTCTCATTCAGAGGATCCTTGTTCTTCACCAACCAGTTGTTGATATTGTAATCAACAGTTCCAGCGTAGTGAACCAGGGCAAAGTGAGCCTCTGGTTTTCCTTTGACAACTCTGGGCTTCTGGAAGTTGCTGGATTTTCCCAGGTGGTTGTCATAGAGCTTAGCTTTAAAGGTGGCATCACTGGCTTTGGGGAACATGCACTCCTCTTCAAGGATGGACATGATACCCATGGGCTGCAATTTATGAGTGAAAGGGCAAAATATGAGGTTTTTCTTTATTTTAAATACCATATTTGAGCTGAACATGTAATAGTTCAGGGTCTCACCTTTTCAATCAGGTCGATACAGGCCTGCAGATCCATGCCAAAGTCAATGAAAGTCCATTCGATGCCCTCTTTCTTGTACTCTTCCTGCTCCAGTACAAACATGTGGTGGTTGAAAAACTGTTGCAGTTTTTCGTTGGTGAAGTTGATGCACATCTGCTCAAAGGTGTTGAACTGTAAATAAAGAAAGAAAGAAAATGTATTCAATTTTAATCATTCTGTACATATTATGTTGGGAGAGATGCAGTTTACTGTGATTACTCACATCAAAGATTTCAAATCCGGCAATGTCCAGCACCCCTATGAAGTACTGGCGAGGCTGCCTGGTCTCCAGTGACTGGTTGATTCGCATTACCATCCACAGAAACATCCTCTCATAAACAGCTTTTGATAGAGCACCAACAGCATAGTTCACCTGTGGAATGGGAACACAAGGACCATACAAGAAGCCACAAAGCAAGGAGGGTGTATTCCTCATTTTTGAATCTAAATCTAACCATTTAAAGATTTGAAATATGTATTCTCTTATTCTCTGACCTGGGCCACATTTTGTCCTTTGGTGACCCACTCGTTTCCTACTTTGACTCTTGGGTGACAGAGACCTTTGATGAGGTCGGCAGAGTTCAGGCCCATCAGATATGCAACTTTGTCAGCATCTGAAGAAAAAAGTAGAATACTTTGATTGGTTTGATTCTGTGCCAAAGTGCCAAACAGAACCACACTGTACCTTCAGTGCCATCAGCCTCTGCCTGCTCCTCTCGCTGCTTCTGCTTGAATTTCATGTTACCATAGTGCATGATGGCACCAGTCAGCTTGTACACAGAGTTCTTTTCCTCTTGCGTAAAGCCCAATACATCAAAGGCACTCTGTAGAACAGCATACAATAATGTCTCAACATCCTTAAAGTGAAAATATCACTTTAAGTAATCGGTCCAAAACTTCTACGGTGCTCTATTAGACCAACACGTGGACTTATTAAATGAGAGGTTATAAAATAGCAATAAGTGAGAGCCTGACATCTGTTGCCATGAGTTCCTCAGCATCATCAATGGAGGCCACTTGGGTTTCCCCCTGTGAGATGAAGGCATAGTCATAGGGATTATTGGTGATCAGCAGCATCTCTGGAAGACACATGAATGAATGAAAAAAGGTGATAAAGGTGGGCATGTGACAATATAGAACCTATGTTTTATATTTTTTTATACCGCTCCATGCACTAACCCAAAATTTCAGGCTTTTTGTTGGACAGAATCTGGTAGAAGATGTGGTAATCTCTCTCTGCCTTGAGCTGGAAGATCACACGAGACTTCTCCAGAAGGTCTGACAAACGTGAAGTAGAAGGTATTTGTGTTAAATATACTGTGTGACTGTTTGACAAAATAAATATTATATAAGTGTTGAAAGAATGTTTGTTCTTACATGTTTCGATATCAGCAGAGGCTACTTTTCCTCTGGTATCAAAGTGAATTCGGATAAATTTACCCTGAAAAGATAATATTTGCATTTAAAAACCTTCCTCTTACTGACTAATTCCATAGAAACATAATATTCACAATACTCATGGTTCAGTTTTAAAATATTTGCCACTCACAAATCTGGAGGAGTTGTCATTCCTAATGGTCTTGGCATTGCCAAAGGCCTCCAGAGCAGGGTTAGCCTGGATAATTTGATCCTCCAGGGTGCCCTGTCATAAAGGAACACTGTGGTTGTTAAATGTGTGAATATTTAGAGGTTATCTCTTTTTTCTTTTTCTTTTTTTTAAAATTAAGAATCTCTTTGCTAGCAGATTATATGAAATCAGGAGAAACGTTTGTAGTCTTTGCAGGTCTTAAGCCATCATCATTGATGAGAAGCAATCCAAGCCTGTCACCCTGGTTAAAAGTGAAAAATTCTTTTGGTTAGTGTCAATTAGAATATCTATTTCTCTACTTGTTTTCCATGGTTACCCTGAAGAACAATTTTAAAAAGCCTAACATGTTTTGATAACATAGTGTTTGAGGTACTTTGCATTTGCATTGATGAGCTCTTGGACCTAAGACAGAGTTTACTACTTACCTTGTCCTTGACATTTGCGTCCTTCTTAACACTTCCAGCCGCAATACTTGCAAAATACTGGATTACTCGCTTTGTGTTGACGGTCTTTCCTGCACCAGATTCTCCACTGTAATTGCAAAGTCACTCATCAATACGTAAATGCACCATATTGTAGAATAATGTTGTGCTGTGTATCCAAGACTTTACATACGTGATCAGAATTGACTGATTTTCACGGTCTGCAAAAAAGTACGTTTGCAAAGGTTATGTCAGTATATGTCCCAAAACTTAAACCAAACTGTATCTATTAATATCCATCTGTACCTGCCAGCATGTACTGGTAGGCATTGTCAGAGATGGAGAAGATATGAGGAGGTGCTTCGCTCCTCTTCTTTCCTCTGTAGGCAAGAACCACCTCCTGATTGTAGACTGGCAGCCACTTGTAGGGGTTGACAGTCACGCAGAACAACCCAGAGTAGGTCTGAGAACATAAAGAAAACCATTGCTGTTAAGGTTGGTAAATGCATTTCTTTTTCTAATTTAAAACTTTTTGTTTGGATTTGCTTCAGGCTTTGGACATGCCGCTCATTTGATGGTAACTCCTAGAACATTGTTGTGTCTAGATTCAAGATTCAAGGTCTTTATTGTCAATGCAGTGTACTAAAATGCCACTTCACCCCACGCCCCCCGTGGTGCATTTATAAGAATATAAAAAACATATCTAAAAACAGATATGAGACTAGAAATTACAAATAAGTAATAACTCACTAAATTTGGGTAAAGTTAAGAGATAAAAAGTACTATTACTAACTATATCTATGCACAATAAACAAAGACAGGACAGAGGCAATATGAAGTGGCCATGTGCAATTACAGTAAAGTGAGATGATTGTGCAGTAGGAATGAATACCAGGTTCAAGTTATGAGTCAGGATATTGTACACAAGACAGGACGAAGACGTGCAAGATGCAAAATGTGCAAATATAGTATAGTTTAGATGTGTTCATTAACTATGTGACTGAGGTGTGCAAATAAGCGTATCGTTCCTAGTTTGTAGTAGATTTGTGGAAGTTTTTGAGTTTTTTGGTGAGTATTGTAAGGTGTTTGTAAAAGTGTTTGTGTTTATCAGTCCTTTGGTGGTAGTGAGTTGAGGGCTTTGACTGCTTGGGGGGGAAAGCTCTTGCTCCTATGTTAACATTTTAAGTACATTCCTAGTTGATGGAATACAGTATTTGCTAAAGTTAGAAAAAATGAAGCTTCTGAATATTTCTGGCAGCCCCCAATATCAAGCTTAACCACAGTTCATAGGTCATCTTCGTGCCAACGTTCCCCAGCCGATCGCTTATTGCTTGCCTACAGTTCTTACACATCTGCTATCCTCTTTGCAACCCACTTATACGCACTCTCTTCAGTTTCATGCTGTGTCTGATTTAATCAATGCCATCTCATTCCTGTTCTTTTCAGAACATTTTGCTGCTCCTCATCTGGTGAAAGCACCAGATGTAAATGACTGCAAATAGGTTTTACCAGGTTTTCCTTGTTTTTGACTTGCTGACTACTCACATAGATCATCCATGCTGCATAACGCTCTTTGAGATTAAACAGCACAGCTGGTTCATGGAGGAAGGTCAGCATGGCCATGTCTTCAATCTTGTCAAACTTTGGAGGATTTTGTTGCAGAATCTGCGAGTCTTTGACAGTCACAGTCTGGAAGGAAGAAAATAGAATGTGTTTTGATGATTTGGGTTATGAAACCAAACATTAACCTCCTGTTGTCTGTGTTACCTGCTTGTTCTGCACTGTTATTGTCAGCATTACTTGTGTAGTGTTACAGTGCATACCACAGGCTGTCATTGCCAGATGGCAGCAATACCTCGCTTCATCACTCAGCTGCTCTGTGCTGTGAGCGGAGACTTTAATTGCACTAGTAGACAGGCTTCCATTTGAACTTGTGCTGACACTCACTTAAGGACAACACTTTAAATCATTCATAGATTTACACTCAGATTATCACTTTCTCCCAGACATGCACTCATATGCACTCACATCTAATGTGTTTCCTGTGCTGCTCTAACTGACCTGGTTACTGGAGTGGCTCCAGTTCATCAAAATCACCTGATAGATTTAGTTTTATGGTACAGAGTGGTGTACTGAATGATCAAGTGGACCAGGCAATCGATTGCCTACCACTACAGTATGTAAGGTAGGCTAAGTAAGATTATATTTGACTTAACCGCAATCTCACTGTGCGATAAGAATGAGGGCAAACAAAATGCTAAAAACAGCAACGAACTAACCTTCCCATTCTGGGTCTCTACAGTGACCTTGTCTCCATCTCGGCTGGTGATGGTTGCCTTCACAAACTCTTCTACTGGATCAGGGACAAAGCATTCCTTCTTAATGTCAAAAGGACGCGTCGAGGCCTCCATACGTTCCTTCTCCGACTTCCTTAGGTACTGGGCAGCTGCCCCAAACACAGACATCTCTGCATCCCCCATCACAGCACTAATATACATGCAAAGAGTTGGTTCAGAGCTTGATACTTTTTCTTTCTTTTCTTTAAAAATTTACTGCACTCCATACTTATGCAAATGAAAATCTAACTTATTTTCTTTGTCCAAACCATATATAGAATTTGCACTGATGGAAATATATAATTGCCATATAATTGACTCTGTAATATAAGTTGTTATAAAAAGAAAGATCATTTACCAGTGGGTTCAACTCAGATGACAAGTGAGCTCAGACTTCACTGTATGAAATGATGATTCACCTGCAGTAACCAGAGAAAAAGAGTGTTTAATGAGATTCTGCAACATCCTGTTGGGTCATGTAAATGGACTGGATCTTATGAAGTGCTTTTCTACAATACTTAAGCACTTAAAGTGCTGAATACAACATGTCTCAGTCACCCAAGTATTTTTTCTACATCTTAGTGCTTTCTATCTAACATTCACACTCAGATGGGAGCAACTCAGGGTTTAGTCTCTTGCCCACTTTGGCATGTAGCAGCCAGGGATCGAACCAGTAACCTTCTAGATTAGTAGATAACCTACCACAGCCATACAAAGTACACCAGTCCAGTGTTAGCTAAGTGTTAAATAGGACCAGGAGACCTTATAACACCACATTTAAACCTGTTTAGTTTAGACAATGGGAAAATAATCTATGATAACAGCATGCAAAGTATAACCAGACTTACAGTGGCCAGGTGAAGAGAAAGCAGCTGGTAGACTTGCAGGCAAAGCTGGGATCAAATATATAACCCCAGATAACCCTACCTTACAAGGCCAAGGGCACCACCCTGACCTGATAACACACACACACACTTGGTAACCACCATCATTTTCATCACTTATGACAGGGCTCTCCATGGTCATGAGATGATGTCTGGCTGCCCTCTCTGCTTGTTTGTCTCCACCTCTCATGTCCAAATAATGTGATTTTTGGGAACACCGCCAGGAACTTTCTGCAGCATAACTCATCTGTGACTCACCCAAACATAGCTTCTCTATCTCTAATTCTGCCACACTTTTTTCCTGTCATCTCTTGCACTGAATTCTTCTTCCAAGTGGGGACTGGTCATGGATGGAAACCAGATTCCATTTACTGCCTGGGCAGAAGGGGAGAAACGGACAGAATGACACTTGAAAGGCACAAATTGCCACCTTATTTACTTATAGTCTACAATGACTCAGTCATTTTTGCCATGGGCAGTGCACCTCCATAGCTTGGACTTTTCTCCTTGTCACCAGTCCAACTTTCAGCAGCCCACAGAGCAGATGGAATCTTAGCAAAACATTATACAGTTTTCACCCAGTTAGGCACAGTTTGCAGGTTGTCTTAAACACATGTTTGTGTTACACACGAGACACAATAATAAAGGAAGTTTAAAAATACATCACAGATGTCATTTCTAAAATACAACTCAGAACCGTTCACACTTGTCGCGAATGATGTTCATAAAGACTCGTTACAGCTGATGCACTTCAGAGTGCACAGCTCTGCACACAAGGTTGATACCAGCAACTGAAAACAATCCAAGGGAAAGTAATTTCAGATTAAATGTGGGCCAATAACCATGTTAAGCTGAAATAGTTTTACATGGAATGACAGGCAATTTGAAAACAGACCTGGTATAGTATGAGACTAATATATGTCGGACTTTCAGATACTCAGGAAAGTGTGCCCTTTCACATTTTTCTCATGTTTTAGCTTTTAGAATTATATTGGATCAGTAAAAAGTGAAATTGGATAGTATTAAGTCAATTAAAGATTGAGACATGCGTTGCTAAAGACTTGAGCCACCCCGTTTGTTTTAACACTTTGCTTATTTTTTTGTTATTTTAAAGGCTCGTCGTGAGCAACAGGTTTTTAGGCTTTCTGAAGGTCTTGACTGCTTTGTTAGTTTTTTTCAGTCAAGTCATTGTAACAGACTATTTTCAAAGGAAAGTTATTTGTTGTTGTTGTTGTTGTTGTTGTTAAGCCGCTGAAGACTGACCTATGAATCATTCAAAGCATACAAAAGGCACCTAGCTCAAGGTGATTTCCAGTGAGCTATTAGCTGATCCACTCTGCAGTCCCACCTGGAAAGTGTCCGATTGGTAACAGCTTCATTTTTCAGTCTGACAATGGTCCCAAACACACTGCAGTAAAAACATTGGATAGAAAAAACACGCAATGAACACGATCAGTCATAGATCGGCTTTAATCTTGTGCATGACACTGTATACATCTTTTTTGGTTTTTACATTTCCAACACAGCCCCGTGGGATTAAAAAGCTTTTCCAAGCCCTGAACATTCTGTTTTTTGTTTTGTGGAGTGAATCTGGTTTTGACAGATACAACTGTTTCAAAGGGTTTGTGAGATTGTGTGAGAACAATTAGAAGTTCATATAGTGCCAAATCACAACAGCAGTCAACTAAACATGCTTTATATTGTAAGGTAAAGACTTGACAAAGCCAATCAAAGGGGCACAGAGAGATTGATTTACAGCCTAAACTCCAGGCTGTAAAACAACCTCACCCTTTGGTTCTAGGTGAGGTTGTTTTTCTGGGAAGAGGTTGAATTTAGCTTGGTGATTCAGTAGTGGTCAGTGTTTTGGAATGACTCACTGAACCAAAGCTTGTACTGATGGTGAACAAGTGACAGATGACTTGGAGCCATGGGCTTCTAATACACTTTCTAATAACAGTTTTATTTTTTCAGTTATTATACAGGAAGTTCCACTTTTGATTTTACATGTGGTTGAATCTTCTTCACACTCACAGTTTGTAGATTATGAATCCTTATAGATGATGATTATACTGTAGAGAGAGCGAGAATGACATTTGTATATATGAAATTAAAACTTGAAAATATTTAGGATGTTTAAGCATGAGCAAAATTACATTCAAATAAAAATTTCAAATATGTCTAATTAAATTCTGAGTACACTGAAAGATGTTTGAACATTAACCTGTGACTGATAGTAATACTGAAATCATCCACAGGATAGCCTTCTGAACACTTGGATTTTAAAACTGCAATCCTGAAATGTTCTGTTTCTTAGTTTAATTTGAAAACATTTAACACCTGGCCATATGCAAATCAATGCCAGGAGGAGGCTATACTGCATCACCACCTCAAGGATTTTAGTTCCATTCTTATTGCAAGTACAAAACATATTTCTGAGAGTATTGGTTGTATTAATGATATTGTGTCTGTCAGTTCAGGCAGGGTATTATTAGATGCTATTCTTGGTAGCAAATTCTTACACCCATCACACCTCACTGAAGTGATTTGTTGGTCTATTTAAAGCCTCTCACAGCTGCATTCATTCTGTGAAATTCACCCCACCCCAAACTTCCTCTGCTGTAGTCAGACTGTTTTTGTAATCACCACAAACAGATCAAATGGATTTTACAAAGAAAGACTTTCATTTTAAGTTTATGATTCAGTCACTATAGAGCAAAAATAGGTGATTTTTTTTTTTTAATTTTGAAGACACATTGCCTCCCACCTGGCGACCTGTGCAGCTGCTTTGTGACTGAGTTGCCCAAAGCCTGAGAGTGACCAGTGAAATAATTCAATAGAATCACCGAGCATACACAGATATATCTTAATCACAAAGAGGTTGCTTCCTATTTTTGCTCAAATCACACTAACTGCAATCGTTCCCAGTCAAGCTTTGCAAGTATTACTTTTTAATTTATAAACTCCAGATCTGACAGATGCTGAAAAAAACAAGCAACAAAACTACCCCGACCCCCCCCCACCACCACCACCACCACCACATTAACAACAATAACCAAAGCAGGGGACAACTACGCTCTCTTGACCTGTGTAGTGCACTCTATGTAGTATTTTGCATTGTAGTAACTGTAGACTGGGATTTCTAATCGATTTAAAGGTTTCAAGTGTATCTGAGACCAGAAGCTTTGAAGTTTTCCGACTCCCATTTTGCAATAGGAAAGGATATTGATTCATCTATTCTGGAGAGTGTCCTGTATATTTTAGACAGTAATTTAGGGGTTTTGAGATAAAGGAATTGTACCACATTTTCTTGTTTGCAATTTCACTTGATTAGGCTTAAATTTCTTTTTCAAAATAGATTTAATTTTTTGACATTCAACAAATCCAGTTTTGATCATCCATATTGTTTAACTAATGTATCAAATAGAATAAAGTCTATTCTGTAATTGGCTAATGGGTTCTGGGTCAAGACAGTTTAACTACAGCCAGCTTGAAGGCCTGTGGTACATAGTCGATTATTAGAGATAGGTTGATCATATTTAAGATTGAAGAATTAATTAATGGCAGTTTTGTAGGAATGGGGTCTAAAAGACACGTTGATGGTTTGGAGGAAGTAATTATTGAAGTTAACTCAGAAAGATCAATTGGAGAAAAAGACTAAATGAATATCAATGGTGCTGAAAGTAGCTGTAGATAATGTTACATCTGTGAGATGATTATTGGTAATTTTTTCTCTAATGATAAAAATGTTATTTGTGAAGAAGTTCATGAAGTCATTACTAGTTAACGTTAAAGGGATGGTTGGCTCAACAGAGCTCTGACTTTTTGTCAGCCTGGCTACAGAGCTGAAGAGAAACCTGGGGTTGTTCTTATTTACTTCAATCAGTGATGAATAGTAAGATGTTCTGGCTTTGTGGAGGGCAGCAAACTATTTCTCCAGGCTAAATGATGATCCTTTAAATTTGTGATACACCATTTCCTTTCCAGATTACGAGTCATCTGCTTTAAGCTACGTGTTTGAGAATTATACCACAGAGTCAAGTACTTCTGATTTGAAGCTTTATTTTTCACAGGATCTAGTATCTAGAGTCATACGAGGTGAGGAGGCAAAGTTATAAGCAAGATAATCAACCTCTGTGGGAGTAGCATTCAGGTAGCTGCTCTGTGTTGGTACAGGGCATTGAAGATGATAAAAGTGAGTGGCTTATATTCTTAAACTTAGTTACAGCGCTTTCAGAAAGGTATCTACTGTGATGAAGTCTACAGTCTGACATTATAGACATTAAATTTAGTGACCTCTGATTGACGTAACCGAGTGTCATTACTGCCAACATGAATTATAATTTTATTGGAGGATGATTTTACAAAACCAGTTTGGTCAGGATGTATTAAAAGGGGGGTTATCTTCACTAATCTTTTTGAGAGAGCTTTGCAGATTATTTTAAGTGATATTGGGCGATAGCTGGTAGGAAATACAGGGTCTTCCTGGTTTTAGCAGGGGACAAATTTTGGTAGAATTCATATTTAGTGGTAGTGTGCCCTTTTCCTTGATTTCCTGCAACATTCCATGGAATACTGGTGCCAGAATTGTCCAAAATTCTTTGTAGAAATCTGCTTGAAATCCATCTGGACCTGGAGCCTTATTATTGGGTAAACAGTGGCTTCCTGGAGTTTTCCTCATGTCAGCGGTAAATCCAGTGCTATTGCTTGACTGTCTAATAATTTCAGAAGGTTTATGTCAAGAAACATCAAGAAACTGATCAATTTCGTCATTGGATGGGTTTACAGAAGTGAATATAAAGTCTTGTAAAAGTCTCTGAAGGTGTTATTTATTCTTTTAGGGTCACATACTGTGTTCCCAGATAACGGCACATATGGTCGTTTTTTCTTTATTTATTTTCACTTTCTCTGGTTCACTTAAGATCAACCTGATTTATTACCATGTTCAAATATTTGCAAGAAAAGATTTCATATTAAATTTTTCTGTTAATAATTTTATTTAATTCTAGATTTTTTTTATGTATTTTGTTCAGCATTTGCTGTCACAGGCAGGAGACAGACTTCTTCTAAGGATTTGATGATTTCTTCTAATTCCTGAAATTCCT